GTAGGAGCGAATAGTTAATTAAAATATGACATAGATAAACAACCAATAAATTTGGAAACCTAACAGTCAGTTCAACTCATTAGGTGAGAATCAAAATTTCGGTAGAATGTTGCGCAATGAAAGACAAACGCACATGAAGAAAACAATTACATTTACCAGGGTAATGCGAGATTAGTCACACAATCTTTCTGTACACACAGGTTGGGTTGAAGACCTTTGATAGCGATGGCTTCTCCGAAACGAAGTAACCATCGTTTTCTTTGTGCATTGATTATTTAGAAACCTAATTTCAACTGCATGTCCCTGTCAGTTAGGTGCCTGGCAACTGCACTTGAGAACACGATGCCATCTTTCATACACAGACTTTTAGAGATATGCTCAGAGAATGTAGTAGACTCTCTCTTGATAAATGTAGTGGACATGAGTGGGATACTTATCTATTCTTGACTAAATTAACGAGCATACTGTGATGTAAAGTGCATCGGTAGCATAGCGGTTAGGGCGCTCGCCGACCATCCACATGATCCGGGGTTCGATCCCCGACCGACGCACTCCTTTACCTTGCTAAACCAGAAATAATGCTGGTGAAGAGGAAGCCACTAGCTTGAAGCCTGTCATGGGTAAGGATATTTACTGTGATGTAAATATTATTTAGGTCATAGGCAGTTGGAAATAATCCAAGAAATAAAACAAGGTCGTATTATTCTGCAAATTTGCTCATTCTTTCTTTGTTTAAAATCGAGAACAACTTGGAATATCCAGTTATCTGAGATTTTGATTTATCATCCTTAGCTGTGACACTATCTAGTGTTTAGTATCCATAAGTATTTAAGTGTATATATCTCTTAATGGACCTGAATTAGCCTTGAGAATTAAAAGCATTGCATCTATCTTTATTTTTGAGTGGCAGTTTCAGTTGGTGTAAACATAATTAGTCGTGCATATATATAGACGCTTATATCCTCTATGCTGTGCAGTATGCTGCGTACTACTGACTGTAGTAAAAGGCCAAACAGACCAGTGATACCAGATCAAGGTGACCTAAATATCGAACGAGAATTTCGCGCACTTATGACGTATCTATCAGATGTGTAACCATACCAACTGAATCAATACAGCTAAATTTGTGTCTAAGTTGATTTCTAAGTATTCAAGATGCTATTGAGATATGCATAATTGAATCTAATATATTATTCAATTACTGTAACTGCTAATTTTATTATATATATATATATATATGTACCATGAAATATGCATGACTTTAAAGAACAATATTGATAGCATATGATGAATGAATTTAATATTTCTTTCTATTACTTATGATTATTAAAACTTATATGAACTTCGTTAATAAGGTCAATTAAAGTTAACTTGTTTTATTTAATCAAATAATGATTTATACTGAATACTAACTGATAAATTGACTTTAAAGAATCGATTCCGTTTGAGGTGAATATCAATTTAAGAGAGATTCGAAATTCTATTTATGATACACATGGTACTTAAATTCTTAGTCTTATTGTTTTTAGTGATGAAGACGAATACCGTAAAAAGAAAAAGTTGAAAGCCATTCAAACAGTGGGCTCACTGATTTCTCTTTTTGCGCTAATTATGACGCATAAAATGTGCTGGGTGTTTCATTCTGTCTCAATATTTCAGTTGCCTGAACGTTCTACCTAATCAGAAACTGAATAATTATTGACTTTATCTTACTGAGTGGTGTATATTAGGGAAGTCGTTTTTAACCTTCGAGCTTTCATATCATGTAACGACCAAAACTCAAGTATTTTGGCCTGAACTCAGGAACCACTTGATGTATTCATCTGTATAGTTTCCCAAGCTTCCGTGAGTCATGAACAGCATAAGACAATTTGAGTGACAGAATCTGTGGTGTTCAACAATGCCGTGTGGCAGACATACAGTCTGAAAACCTTTCTCATGTACAAAATACGTATTAAGAATCAAGAAGAATATTACCAACAACGTGGGAACAAAACTCTGTCTTCAAAAACCAAACAGAATAAACACGTTTCCCGAAGACACTCCAAGGTCAAGCAGTCACCCTGACTTCACTCAAATAAAACTACATTCGTAGAACAACATATTATCAGTGGCAAAATGAAGCATTCAAATTAGGGACCAAACAAAAACAAAGACATAATAAGGATTAAAACAAAAGGAGATGTCCAATGATATACAGTTTAGAGGAAAAAAGGTTGGTGGTAGTTACAAGGTTAGATGAAATATCCAAATAAGTATTAATAATTTGAAAAGATAGTCCATGGAGGGATTCTCAGATTGATTATTCGACTACAGTAGTGTATATTAAAACTGTCAGAAGGTCAAAGTTCTGGTATCAGACAGCATTTCAAAACACTGACTAGTGAATTAAGAATATTCGTTCCAATACATTTTACCTTAATGCTCTACAGATACATGTCTAGATTATTTAATGCGTAAATTTTTAATGAGCACAGCAAGATTTCTATGTACTAGCAAAATAATATACACTTTTTAACATCAGAATCAACTGTTTGTAGAGGTAAATTTAAAATGTGCATGTCCGCGATAATATAAGCAAACACAACACTGAGTAGTTTACGTCACATATCTCAGCGAGCTATATTGAAAGTAATTGATGATAAATGACAAAAAAAATACAAAAAGTAGAACATTCATGATTTATGCTTAAAACAAATTGAATTTAATCGGATTATAAAAATTTATGTGAATACATTCTAACGAAAATAAACAGACGAAGAAGTGAAGTAGAAGGTTGCATGTACTAAGAATCATGTGAGTGAATACGAGGAAACAAATGAATGAAATCTGTGAAAATGAAATGGTTTATTTTTGATAGCGCAGAATGAAATAGTGACAATTCGCTTCGTATAATGTCCTTCAGGGATATTTATACACAGGTCACATACACAAATTCCAGAGCTGATCATACTAGTAATATTGATTGCCCCTATTTTAATAAAAGTACCACCTAGAGGTTGAGAGGTAGTGTTTGTTTCATTTCTGCAAATACGTCAACTGTTCATCGTTCTTCTCACTTCTAAAGTAAAATACTTTAGTAGAATATGCTTTAGTATTAAATACATCCATTAGTTCTTTAGCAAAGGTGATCAGTTTCTTTTTCACCAGAGACCTATGTGTTTCATTTCAATTCCTCTTTTCTCATGAAAAATTATCTTTCGGACTAGTTTATTTCCAACAGTTTCGGTGTTACACGCATTAACTTCAATCTGTATCTGCTATCTTGACATGGATGATCGGGATTGTGTATCGCAGTGACCCTACAAGTTGCACTGGCCTAAACGTATGTTCCTGTAGATGCAAATATGCCACAAAGGTTGTTGAGAGAGTGGTTAGACTAAAGGCAGTTACCGTCAGAGTGCATGCAGCACACACTGACTTGGCCATCTGAGGGTAAACTTGTAATTCTGGCTAATAGGGATGCATTGTCAAAGTTCGTCTGCCCGGAATTTTATATACTGTCTATTTATTATTGTAAGGTTTAACAATTACTAGATTTCCGCTGAGTTTATAGAAGCATTTTAAGAAAGAATGTCAAAAAAGGAGAAACGTGTGTGAGATCTGGAAGTCAGTACCATTTAAGTGTGCTATACTTCACCACAACAAGACATAAAAACCAAGTGTCAGAACTAAAGTTATATAACAGGAATCAAAAGTAGTATGAATGGAGAGGTAAAGTAAAGAGATACCTATTAGTAAAATAATCAGAATAATGGAAATAATACATTCACATATATATGCAGAACGTGGAGACTGGTACTATGTACTAGTATGATTAAGCAGAAAAATTGTGTTCGAAACGTCCTTCAGTAAACAGTACTGTCTCACTGTCTGACTGATATAATAAACAAACAAACATGCAATGATATATTCACATTACAGTTGTCTATCTTCGTTCATTCAACCCTAAGTTTCATCTCCCTAATGTCCCCAAGATTACAGTCAGATAAATTAAATTAACCACATGGATAAGGCCAACAGTCAGACCCCTCATGGATTAGTGCTGTTTTAACAAACTGTTACCCTTCAAACATCGAATCACCTTATTCAGTTAGTGATCATTAACCTGATCTTAAAATATAATTTTAGAAGAATGGACACGGAACAAGCAGTACTCTTTCCGATAAATTCATCATCAGGTTCTACAATTATATCTACATTATAATGAATGAATGAATTAGTCTTATGAACGACATTAATGTTTAAATAACATCAAACCAATAATATTGATAAATTACAGCTTAACAGCATCAACATAAAATAAACTGAATGTCAGAAGAATTAGGAAAGGTAATAGTACAAATTCATGAGTTTATAGTTTCTACTGAGGGCCAGGGCAGTAGTAGGGGCTGGACTTGTTTCTTCTGGACACAGAGCACTGGTTGTTTGAGGCGAATTACAATAGCCTCTGCTGTTTGGAACATGCGGTGCTTCGACGATTTTGGTAATTTGTTAGGCACTCAGTATATTATAGAGAAGGATTCTTCTACGCTGGCTTTGTGACCGGTTTGCACCAGATGGTCTAATATCGAGCTGTTAATAGTTTTAACTACACCTTTACTTAGCCATAGTGGGATATGTTCTCGAATTCCTAGAGCAACAGCCAATATAACTCGCTTCACAAGCGCAGTTGAATTGATAGATACAATTTTAGGTTCCAGTCTAGGAGTTCCTAACCATTGCCATTAAGACAGATAATGGGAAATGTAATCTCTTCACACCTTCCTTGACTATAGCTCTCAGATATTAAAATATAACATAGTGAGCAGTCGTGCAACACTTTCATTCTGCAGTAAATGACTGAATATTCTGCTTATATTGAAAATGATATAACTTAGTCAATCTCATGTTAAGGTATGCATCAGTCAAGTACGTAATAAGCTGATAAAAATCACTCAAAATAAAATATATTTTAGAAATCACAAACTGATAGACAAATAAATCTAAAGTTCTAGCTAGTTTGATTTCTTTGTTGTTTGTTTTTAAATAATATCGTCGCGTTAAAATAGGCCTTTAGTGAATTTTATTAATATATAACTAAGTATATCACTCAGTTCTTGAAGTACACACTTCCTTATAGATTGTGAATACTTAAAATGTGTCTATAATGTAAAGTGTACTGTTCAGAGAGTGCTTATCCCAAAATGTATGCTGTTTATATACTGTCCTATGAGTATAGAAGAAACAAGTGAGCATAACATACACCGTTTGCCTATTATCTCATAGATATAAATATCTGTTCATCATGTGATTATAGCAAGAAGAATAATTAGAAGACAAAAGAATAAATATTTTATCTAGGGCATTGTTCACCTAATTATAATATTGAACCAATGTAGTATACATTACTTTTATCTTCTATTAGTTATGTCACTTAAAAACATAAGCTTTATAAAAAGAAAAAGAAAAACTGACATGCACAACCTGTCTTGAGTTGTTTTATTGATTAGATGAAATGAAATAATCACTACTGCCTCTGAGATGCATAAATACAGATAGATGTCTTAATATCCGGGTAGCATTTTGAAAAGAAAAACAGAAGAGATTAGCCAACCTTTCTGATTTGGTTTACGCCACACAATTATGTGCATTGTTTAACGGAGATAGATTATAGAAGCATAGTCTATTATACTTTCTCATTCTGAAGACAAAATACATAGGAATAGTATTATAAGATAGTTTTATTATCATAGTCAATTTATTATCTGAAAACGAAAATGACTACAATACGGCGGTAAGTATAATTTTTTTATTGTTCTGTTTAATTTATTAAAGTGTCTAATAATTTGCCGTACTTTTCTTCTGAGAAGAAAGCATACTTTCCCACTTTAAGAATATTTTATCCCAGATAATTAACGCTTAAATCTCAAGATCAAACAACTATTTGTACTTAATTAAAAGAGGCATAGAGTGCTCGCCAACCACGCATATGGTTCGGGGTTTGATTCCCAGCCGACACACTCCTTTACCTCATTAAGCCAGTAATAAGGCTAGTAAAAAGGGAAGGTTGGGCATGAGGCTAGCAACCTCATCGTGTAAAAATAATCACCACTGCTACAGAAACTTCAAGACTCTAGCTTGAAGTCCTATGTTCCACTGGGAACGTAAAGGAATAAAAAAGAGGCATAAAGTTGCATATTCTATCAGATTTTAGACATGGAAAGAGCCACTGGTAGTTGAAGTCACTTGATAAACCATAAATCATTGTATTACAAATGAATGTTCTTGAATAAAACTAGGAAATGAAGTATTTGAAGTGAACAGTGTCGGGCTTACTCCCTATATGAATAAATCACTTTCCCTTCATGAAGTCTATGTCTTCTAGTGCATAATAGATGACTGATTATTACAATGTAACAGGAATTAATGGGCTTATCGATACAATGTGTAGCGTTATATTTACCTTGTTGTAAGTTACAGACAGTGGGCTATACTACAATGAAATATTATGTACGTTATCATTTTAGTGATGTTGTGGTTTGAAGTGATATTTTCCTGTGACAGATTCAGTGTTACTTCAGTTGGTCAAACCTTATTAGGATTAAAAATACTTTTATTTATATGACTGTTTCCTATAAAACGCCTTTCTCTCTGTCTCAAAGTCATGATTTACTAACGCACACGTAATTTTTCCAACTTACATTACTTCCAAGTGTTGAGTCTCAGAGACTTGATTAATTACAAGGTAGGTTTCGTCGTAAAGCGATATTATCCAAAGAACCATTAAAATCCAGGGTGTTCGAAATAGTTGTTTCCTCCTAGTCCGGAGATCCTCAGAAGTTATCATGCATGACCCAACAGCAATCGACTTCACTACCTGAAACTTACGAGAGCACTGTTCATTTTAGTATTTAGACAGTGAGTTAAAATTTAGACGTCCATGAATGATTGCCTCTACTGATTCATGATACTGTGCGACCACCAGTGAAATAATAAAACTTGGGGTCGTTTTAATAAATTAAACTTTGTTATATTCACTTAGCCTATGGATCACCCACGTTAGGGGAATCATCGATAAAAGACATCCACAGAAAAGTACCTACAGGTGTTAAATACTCAGATGCTTTTAAACATGTATGTACGTCTTTCATAAATTTCTGAGTTGCTTTCATACTATGGAAAATTAGTCTCTTGGAGCTAATACACTTCCGTTTTATAGGCATAAAAAATTGTAATACTCCCTTTATTAGCTATTGCCTATCTTAATCATATCCTGTTATTTGCTTTCTTTTCTCGTCTTTCAGACATCACAATACATTTTCTCACACCATGAATAAATTTAAGGCCATGGACAAGGCGAATAATCCACAGGGTGCTAAACCAAGGTAAGCAACAAAATCAATGTAATCTGGTTTATGTATATATGGAGATATTTTTAGTCACTTACCGTGTTACTATTTTTAGGAATATTACTTTAATTATTACTTCTCAGTAGGTTAAAAATAGATTACAGAAGGATAATTTATAACCAGCAGTAATTAAGACTAACTACTTAACACTAATGGCAACAATCAGCCAATTCGCTTTACCATACAGCAATATAGCACTAGTAAAGATAAAGCTTAACAAATTTTACACTATATATTATTGATAGACTTCTAAATATCAGATTAAAATTGTGTGGAGAGTAAGTTCAATGAGGGAATGCATTCTTCTTTCAATTAGTATCCCATCAGCAGCTATAAACTAATTATTTATTAATTTGGAAACAAATCGACCAGTGACTTGTTAATTAGCAAGAATTTTCGAATCCCAGGATAAGAAAGAGGAGAAAAGTAACTATAGAAGTGATGACAAGAGTTAAAAAACAAAGTAACCTTTGTTCAGAGTGACATTTAGTACTTCCAGCTTTAAAGTTTCAGTAGCTTTGGCTCTCCTTTCACGGGTTAGCCTCGTTATTCACATGCCTAACTTTCTTCCTTTTCCGGGCTTACTAATGGTTAGTAAAGTAGGTGAGGTTCCAGAGTATGTCAGCGTCCGAGTGACTGGAAGGCATTATACCATTGAGCCACTGACACCTTTTCATGAAGATTAGCATTTAAGTTTGAGAAAAATCATGGGACAGTATAACATTGGTAAAAAAGAACGATACTTGAACAAGTAAGTGTGCTGAATAGATGAAGAAAGGGAATTCAATATAGATATGTTTATTGTATGTATCACACATTGAAACAGTACTATTTACTAGATAACGTTCTGAATACAATCCATCGTTCATAATCCTATCATATCACCGTAGTACAATAAATTTTATTCGAAACGTCACCAATTAAATCACACTGTTTGACTGAGGGATTTATACAGTAAGGAAATTATTATGGACTTAAATGCTACCGCAGTTCCCAAGTTTTACATATAGATTAATTTGAAGACGGAGAAGTTGAGTGGAATTTTAACAGTGATAGTAATAACAATAATAATAGAAGTGGTTATAAAAGAAAGTGAAGCGTATAGAGGATACGGCCATCCCTAGATAAGGTGGGTAATTAAGTGCAAGTGATTTTCTCTCTTATCACAACATACCTACAATAGTGTCAGATTGCAAGCTTAGTTTTGTGTAACTTTGGGAAAAACAAATTTACACATCTGATATAAAGTCTAATTATTTAGTTTACTGGACTGTAAGCATATGAAGGGAATGACAAATATACCTGTATCCTTAAATTATAAAGTTCTCCAAGTGCTGTAGCATTTCTTTGGAAAGGATTGCTGGGTTATCTGTTCACTAAGCTCAGCTGTCAAATTCAGGTGTAAATTTTCAATGAAAGACAGACTGTTAGCAGTAAAAACTGTGTGTAACAGGAATTATCCGTCCAAAGAATAAGTTTTGTGAATAATAATTAATTATGATAGTACTGATAGCTATTCTGCACAACACATTTGTATACAACATAGAAATCTAATAATGATTTATTGTAAAATATTCACTCCTTGTATAGACGTTTCAGGTGAGTTAATTGTGTTATTTAATGTGGTGACGTTCAGTCTAAAACATTATTAAATCTTCCACTATATAATCCGACCTCTTAAAAATTAAGGAGCATTAAGTAGAAAAAGCATTTCCAACGGGTTACTGAAGACTTTTATCAACAACTGTCTTCGCTGGCTCTATATTGAAGATCAAATAGCCAGAAAGAATTAACAACAAGAAACTCTGGGAACAAACTAACCAAAAACAACAACTATGTTGGAGAAAATGGAGATGGATAGAGCACACACTTAGGAGACCGTCAAGTGGAATCACGTGCCAAGCCCTCGAGTGGATCGTCCGAGGGTGATATGGAGGAGCTCGTGGGCTGAGGAGAAGGAGAAGAGAGATTATGGGCCCAGCTGAAGAGGAAAGGAGAAAATAGAACAAAGTGGAGATGTGTTGTTGAAGCCCTATATTCCAGAATAATAATAATAAGCAGATTTTTTAAAAATTTGATATACTATCATTTCAGTTTAAACAACGTGATATAAAATAAACCTTTTTGACTACGTTGGATAGTATATCAGTTAGTTGGTAGTACATTGGGATTTAAACAGTTTGTTTAGAAGAATTCAGTTCTGTCTGACCAGGATATATAAATATAAAATGAATTGATCACCAGTTACTTTTATCTTCAGTATAGAGGCAATAAAACCGTTTATCGTACGAATTAATTAATAACTATCTAATTAAATTTACCTGCAAAGATAGATATGTTAATATGGTGAATAATCAGTCATACTACAATTAATTTACTCTATTAAGAATTTACAAGAAATACAGTTTATCTAAATATGATATATCTATCATCTTGATTGGCAGAAATTCGCATTGTCTATCAAAATCGTTGGACATTACATTTTCTCCACAGCATACATTTACTTTAATGCTTCACCTGTCATTTTCACTATTATCATACTGAAACTACTGGAATGATAGAAAGACTGAACAAATTTACTAAAAATTCAGATCTTTCCTACTTTATTTCTTCTTGATTCTCTTGCGTTTCGAGTGAAACGTAGGGCTTTGGGCTTGAACTTTCAAGTTTCCTTAGAGGCAACGTTGTTTCTGTGGGGTGAGGTTGTCAGTATCACACCCAACATTTCCTCTTCACCAGCTAAGCGAGATCTACGAGTGCCTCGGCCAGGAATTGAATCTGGAGAGTAGTTGGCGAGCGTTCTACCACTGAACCACCGACTCACTTTATACATCATCAAAAAAATGTCTCCATTATTCCTGTTTTCACCTAATGTCGTCTAATGTCATTAAACCATACAGAAATTACCATTCAGTTTTACTACTTGATTTTTGTCTTGTAGTTTCGCAGCCAGTGGTAAAGGCGGTCAACCGAATGCTAAACAGATTATGCTTGATTGGTGTAGAGCTGTCACCAAAGGATATGAGGTAATTATAAATAGCCTGTAAATGTATATTGTGTACAAGTGAGTGAGAATTTGATAATTTTTGTTGAAATGAGAACAGTCTGAGCACAAAAAATAGCTTTTAAAAGTCTTATTTGGTAAATTGGATTATTTACTTACTATTAAAATTTCTAAGAGCATATATCTGTCTTAATACAATTTATTTTTTAAGCTAGCGTTATACATATTCTGACTGGTTAGTTCAAGTTCGTTTTTCATTAACCCAACTAATCTAAGTAGAACTATAGACTCTAAGACTTTAGGGAATATATATTAGACAAATTAATCTCCTTGTGTAACAGGTGCGTTTGTTCTTTTCCCCATAAAACGGAATGATCAGTGATTCACTTCAGTTTGATAGAATTATCTCAGATTTCCACACTCCAGCTACCACCGTAATTAATCTAGGCAATAAGCTATCACCATTATGCTTCAACAGCTCTGAGAACGAAACTTGAGATCCTGCTGTCTTGCCTAGTTTAAGGGTGAAATCCGCTTTTGTTACATCAGCCTCGCTGAATGTCATTCTTTCAGTGAATCAAAAGATGAAGAAGTACAAAATTCGACAATCAACTATTTAGGTTTCTACACACTTTTATGAAATGAAAATATAACAAAAACAGTAAAAATGAGTCCTTGAGACAATTACATTTTGACAGTTTCAATCTGCCTTATTATTATATCATTCGTGATTATATAAGTTTTCTGCTTAATATAATTTAAATTAGGGTGTGGATATACAAAACTTTGGAAGTAGCTGGGGTGATGGTTTGGCATTCTGTGCATTAATTCATCATTTCTATCCGGATTCATTTGATTTTTCCGCTTTGGATTCAAAAAATAAACGCGCCAATTTTGAATTAGCGTTTGAAAAGGCCGAGTAAGTCACGAGATATATATATATATAATAGAAAATAATTTCCTTCTTTGTAATCATTTGTTCCTCAGTATTAAATATTGATCACTGACTTTAGGTTTTGTATTTATTATTGACAGACAAAGTTATTCTTCCTCTTCATAAAAGTATTTCCCACTTATCCATTTTCTTTTCATCTTAAGCCTTTTCGTACTTCCTTAATTCTGTTAATTTTCAGTCTATGTACTATTGTTGTGTTGTAGCTTAAACTGACGCACTCTTAGGGCATATTGTGTTCTAGTGTACTCCATCATGTAGATTTTCTTATTTTACTCGCTTTGGCTATATTTATGATGAAAAAGATGTTTTTTAAAGTTTAATGTCAATATATTTAAGAAGTTTTACCAGAATAAACTGATACCCTACGATAGTTCATCTTTCATAATTAAGTCTGTGTCGGTGGCACGGAGGTAGAATGCTCGCCAACCACGCATGTGGTTCGGGGTTCGATCCCCGGCTGACTCACTCCTTTACCTCTCTAAGTCAGTAATAAGGCTAGTAAAGAGGGAAGGTTGGACATGAGACTAGCAACCCTATCCCGTAAATATAAATAAACACCACTGCCACCGAAACTTCCAAGCTCTAGCTTGAAATCCTATGTTCCACTGGGAACATAAAGGAATAAAATGAATTTTAAAAAATTTAAGTGCTTTCTATTTCCTGTTATGCGCTATTTTTCGCGAGTTAAATCAGACTTATGAAGGGCTAGATAATGACTGGAAAAAGAACAGGGAGTCACTAATCAAATATTTAAAGCATATAGTAGGTTGACTATCAATTGTCCATATGCTTAGAAGGTTGAAATTAGTTATCTGTAGTCTTAATTACTAAAGATTAGTTACAAAGTGTTTGTAAAAATCTAAGTGGTACAAAATGCCTGTCAATAATCCTCACATGTTTAAAATCCTAATAAGACTACGCTGCTAGCGTACTTAAATCGATAAAATTATTTCAGATAGCATATATTAAGCAAAACATCTGTAATACAGCTGTTTAATAATACAGAATCTCAGAAATTATTATTTGTTACTACATAAAATATCAACTGGTCACCTTATAGCGAGCTTTGATTAGCTTAATAATAATTCCTGGGTTAATGATGCAATAGTACCTCTCCACCGAATGTTAACATCAAGTCGTCAAATACTTCAGCTTTCGAATACTAGTAATTGTTTTTATTCTTCAGATCCTGTCATTACAAACCACAGCGATTTACTCTCGTGAAACCTGCTCCCTTTATCTCTTTGTTAAATACAATAAAAGTGGATATTTGATTGAATGATCAACACTTTCATCTGTTACTGAGTTTCATTCGTCTTAAACTGGCCAAAGTCAGGAGCATTCTCTAATATTCAGCGCATACTGTTTCCTTAATCTAATCGCTTGAATTATTTCTTCACTATAGTTCTAAATGTTTATACCCGAGATCATAAACACTTCATACTTTCTCTGTATGCATACCATGAATAAGAGTAGCCATAGAAGAAGAATTAAACTTTCAAAAAATTAAAATCAATAAAGTGAGCGTCAGCTGTTTTCGTTCACTGACTCCATTATTGCTATTTGGAATTGATTTTGTTGTAAAAGAAAGTACTTTACACACTGAAAGATATTTGAAACTTTTAATCATCACCCATAAAAATGACTAAAAATACTGTATTAAGTTGAAGAAAAACCACAATGAACATAAAAATTAAACAAGAAGGTCTCATTAAATGAATAACTGTAAAATAATTGCAAATTGGCGGGCGTATAGCCTTTGTAAATATAATGCACATAAACCACTAAAATACTATGATACAAAATATATATGTTATGCTTTGAAATAAGGCTTGCATGTTGTGAAGAATCCATGTTTATTCCAACGCAGTTCATCGGTGCGTCATCTCCAAAGCGGTAACCAATCAAACACAGCTGTCTTCAAAAATCACCCTACAAGGAAGTCATTTTAAACGGAAGGTGTCCTGAGTCACAGTATCAAGCCTAATGTTTTCCCTTTGCAATAAGAACCAGTAAATTTTGTATGAAAAAGAAACTAATAAGAAATGGCCTTAAAAAATTTCACTAGGGACTGAAGAATCGATATTCTAGATTTATCATTTAGTTTGTTTCTGCTGCTAATCATTGTGCTACTTAATCTAGTTGGTAGATAATTCAAAGGATTAAATCAGTGTGCACTTATTGCTTCATATGGTTTTAGGAAGTTGGTTAATGATACTGGAAAATATCTGACCTTTCTAAAGACGTTTCTCAGAACTATTATTTTTTGCCGATTCAGCTAGGAGTGTAGATCAGATACTAATAGAAATCACTAATTGTTTACTTGTTTAATTACAGAAAAAATTTTTAATTAAGGTGTATTGCCTCAAATTACTGCACTCAATGTCTGCACAACACTCACAAGGCAATTATAAGGCTGGTAAACGGAAAGAAACCATACGATAGAAGGGAGTAGAAAGTCATAAGACAAAGGAAGAGATAGCAAATTAAATAGAGGAATGTTATGAGTGAAGCCTTTATACATCTGCATTACTTTGTTGCACAGACATATTATCTGCAGCCTATGGCCGTAAGGTATTTCGCCCGCTTTTGTTTACTTCCACAGTTACCTTTAAATTCCAGAATCCATTAAATAATATTTGTAGAAATATAGATTTCATGACTTTTTGTTGGGAGTGTCTACCTATGATACTTATTTGTTATAAATATCATCGTGGATGTAGAGTTTGTCTGCTAAAATGTTTTCTCCACTGAATTCGCTTCCTACTGTATACGATCGTTATTTACTCAAAATTATGTTGGTGTTGTTGACCGTTACAGATGATTTCAGAAACACATCTCAATCATCTTTTAATGTCGCAAAGTGTATTTCGTTTCCGCATTTGCCATCATATTTGACATTGCAATAACACAAAACTCCATAGAATAATTCTCCTCTATCTGCCTAGTTAAGCGTCTACAAGAAAACTGATTTCACATTATTCTATAATCCGTGAAATATGACCAGCTTAGTTTCATCTATGCTTCTGACTAAATGTAAGGGAATTTATCTCTTTTAAAAGGGAGTATATTATCAACCAGTTAATTAGTTAACGCAATCCTGATGTGTTACTACTTCAAGCCTTTCGCTTGAAGCCCCATGTTCCACTGGGGAACGTGAAGGAAAAAAAATCCTGATGTGGCCTAAGGCTATAACTGTGAAACACAACAGTGGTTACAATTTGATAAACACACATGGGGAAATTACGTATACCATATAATAACATCATCACTTGCACTGATGTTCTGTGTGGTGCTACTTCTGCCCTTTGTATTGTGTTTCCTTGCTTCCTTTTCGTGTCTTCCATGTTTCCCCTCAAAACTGGTTCATTTCCTCATTTCTAAGCTATTTGATATTTTTGTGCCTATGAATGTCTCTTCATATAGTACTGATAAATCTTGTCAGCAGTACACATCATATGGCTACTTATCTACTGATGACAAATGTAAATTAAATATTAAAATTTAAACCTAGCATGACCAAGTATTCCTGCACTAATTGATTGGATTTATCTGTGTGTCACTCAATACTAATGTCAATAATCTAATCACTCATTTATTCAGACCATAATGTGACTATTTGAGGTACATGAAGTGTTCATTGAAATATAATCAATACAGATGTTTATCCCTTAAGGTAATGCTTAGTATTTATTGATTATTTGTGTAACAGCGAGATTAAGTTAAACGGTAGTACACTGACAGGTATGAGATTGCACTTTGACCTTACACTAGACGTTTAAATAATTATCCTGAACAGGAATGCTTGAACTTAGAATTTATGCCTTTCAACAGTGATCAACAAGTTTCATTAACCAGCGGTTCTAAAAGTTCAAATATAACGTGGTATACACAGACAAATAAATAGCTATAACTCTGCTCATAGGTAGTGACAGTTTAATTTCTATTATAGATTAACCTTCATCACAATGAACAGTCTTGTGGCTGTACATCGATTAGTTAATTGAGCGAACTAGTTGTGTGATGTATACTAGTAAATTGTACAGTATACGGGCATAACATGAGCGAAAAAAAGTGTGTTGTGTTGAAATTTTTGCATTTTCTTTGGTTGAAAACAAAAACCAGCATATTTTTTCATGGAAATATCAAACATTGTAAGAAACAATGCAAGGAATTTAGATACAAAAAAACTATGCTACAATGGAAATGTTTATAAAGCCTTTGACCGGATTATTTTTTATTCTACTTTATTTATTTGTCTATAATTTTTCACCGATGGGTATACATTATTACAGTAGTATTTAAGTTTGATTCAAATAACACTACTTAAGTTTGCTTCCCACTGCATGATATTAGTAGCATGCAAAAGTAACAGAAGTTTCAAACAAACATCACTAAGCATCCATGAAAGGATTTTATTGAACAAATCAACTTTTAAGATAAAACTATCTAAGTTAATCGTGGATTAGAAGGCTGTTATTGATTTGGTTGATGATCACTGCAGGTGAATGGAAAATCTGCGTTGCGGATGGATTCGAATCAGCAGCCTCAAAAATAACAGTCCAGCACTGTGTCAGCTAAGCTGTGAGAATCAATCTCAAGCCAGATCATCATTTCATTGAAATCATCAAGTGTAAAACCCAAATGTTATGTGAATGAATGAAACGTCACTACTGTTTTCGCTTATGATTCCGAGTGAAACATAGGGATTCAGCAGTACGTTGTCAATTCCCTTTGTTCTGTGATGTCTTTTGTAAGTAGCTCCGTGACTATCCACAAGCTTTCATACCTTGTTCACATGATTTCCTTCATTTCGCCATTGGACGATTAACTCGTCGTTTCCCATTCGGATTTAACTCGAGTATCTTGTGTATGATTTCATATGAAGGTTTTCTTAATATTTATCTAAACCACGTGTTCTCTTATCATTACACTAGATGCCTAACTAAGCTTTCTCCTAATAATCCTAATCATTGAGTTAAAAACAAAGAAGAGCAAGTTTTTTATTGGTAGTGCAGAAAACCTACTACCTATATGTGTTTACTTACTGCTAGAAACTTCTATTGAAGTATTTGCTCACATGACGTAACTGAATAAGCAATCTTATTAGATATCTTAGTTGAATTGATAGAGTGCTATTAGTAGTGAATTTATACGACATCTTCAGACGTATTTTTAATATCATTCTGAGATTCTGATTAGTGAATAAAAAAGGATGGGCTGCAAACATTTAATAGCTTTTATCACTGCAACAAGCATCGGTGGTGAAGTGGTAGAACACTGGCCAACCACTCAAGTGGTCCAGACTTCGATCCCCGGCTGACGAATTCCTTTACCTTGCTTCGCTGGTAGTAAGCCCGGCAAAGATGGAAGGTTGAGCGTGAGGCTAGCAAACCCATCTAGTAAAAAATCACCACAGTTACTGAAACTGTAAAGTCTAGCTTGAAATCCTGTGTTTCACTGGGAACGCAGATGAATAACAAAAAAATTACCGCACCTAAGATGATAAGTCAAATGAGTTTTGTTGGTCTTTTAAAGTTACTTATTGACTAAGAATATAACACTTTTCGACTGATAAAAGACAGAATATCACGTCTTTATTTAAAGCGTAGTGTATAACTAAAATTGTTTATCGTCCTACATATTTTGTTTAAAAGGATAATAAAAAATATTTTTTTTAAATAATTCAATAATTACCACTGTAGCATTAAGAACACAATATTTAGCGAAAGACTCTTTTCAACGAATTTGTTATCAAGCTGTACAATCGTATATATATATATGGTTTTTATATCAAGAAATTATATCCCGTGAAGAAATTTAAACATGGGCAGGAATACACTAATTAATAACAGTGCGTACTGTGAAGAGCCCCAAACTAGGACGAAACAGCTGTCCAGTACTCCCAGGTTTTCCGATGGTTCTCTAACCGATGTCAGCTCAAGACGAAATCCTCCAACCTATAACAGTATGAGATCCAATTATAATATTTGTGATTATAATCATAATGAAATATCAAGTATAAAGTAGCAAAACAATTAATATCGTATATAGAATAATTAACGAGTTGTAGAGATATTGGAAGGGGATGTATAATTATGCAGTTAGCAGGCAAATATAAAACGTTACGTAACATGGTGTGAAGTTTGATAAGATAGAATTCAATATTGCAAAAGAAAATTCTTTTTGATTTAGAATGACAGGTTGGCTGAAGTTTCAGTCATACCTTGTCATAGAATAAAGCAATACATTTTTATCTGAAGGTATATACTTAATAAAAGTATTTGACGTACTAATAAATATATTTTGCTACTGTGTTGAAGTTTAACCTTGTTTATAAAGTCATAAACCTCCTGCTTCTGGCTAATTCAATCAAAAGTATTGATCTATATGTCCCAACAACTTTGTGAAAAACCTATTCAGTCTTATAAACCTATACATTAATTATTCCGCTATGTGGCTGAAATACATGGCAGACATTGTAACTGAATGCAATCTAAGATGTGTATGTTCGATACAG